AAAATAAAAAATAAAAATAAAGAGAAAAAAAAGGAGCATTCCATAAAAAAAACCCAGACCCATTCACCACACTCCAGGTAAAACATCATCAGTCTTAAATCAATTATAGACTTCTTACAACAAAGACACGTTTTTTTGTTCTGAATGACTGTGCACATTCACTCAAACTGAACAACAATTTACAAACAGAAAATAAAATAACCCTGCTTTGACGAACCGTAACACTCAACATTGAAAGTTGTTCTGAACTATGTTTATCATGACAATCACATTGGGGTGTCCCTGACGGCACACTGGACCCAGGGCTGAGAGCACCTTCAGTACGTACAAGTAGCCTGGCACTAATCAACGGTGTCAACATCATCTTTATTTACTGCAGATGCCACAGTGCAACAATCCTATGCTATAAATAAATACAAAAACAAAGTCAACTGATAAATAAAACAAAGCCATGTGCGATTCTGAGACAAAACCTGAAGATGTCCTTGTTACTCTCATTTATCATAGACCCAACAGTAGGACATGATTTGTCTAGACAGGTTCTGTCGTTTAAGTCTCAAACTGGGCAAAAGGCCAATCACATTCTTCGATTATCACTAATTATCATTCAGTTCCTCACAAACTTTTCAGGGTGAAACACATGCATTCTCTAAACACACTCTGAAATAATAGTGAAAATAATCAATAAATAACAAGGAAATGCAAAAGAAGTAAGAGCATGCAGCTCCTCTTCTCAAGCACAAAAAACAAACCACCACCGATAAAGAATAATAATATATTATTTGTATTTCCAGAAAAAAAAATATTGCTCTATTAGTTTCACTTCCTTGAAAAGAATAAAAAGAACATTGTAATAAAATGAGTGATATATAAAAATATTTACGAAAAGAAAAGTCTTTGGCAGAACTGCAAAAACGAAAATATCTTATAAAGATAGTTATTTCGATTTCATCTTTGCGGAGCAAAAATTAAATACTGTCAATCTCAAGCTGTAGAATCATAAGAACTTTAGTTTTCACGGAAGAAACATTTAAAAGTTCTCTTTCAAGAGTATTCATCACTCAAAATTAAACAAGAAGGAGAGATGTATGATATTTTACCTGTTAAGAATCATTTTTCGATCATCTATGTTTCGATTACGGATCTGAAGTTTATTTAAACATCTCAGCACAATAACCTCTCGACTTACTGAATGCTCATGTGTTTAACTTCACAATTTCACTCGATCCCAAAGTTGGCCTATTCATAAAATTAGGGACAGACAGACAATGGAAGGTGATAGCTCAAAATATGAAACTTTATGATTGAGAATCAAAAATAACTGAAAAGGGAATATTTCAAGAATAGTTGAACACGATACACACAGTTAACAGCGAACAAACACTCAGTCCCCTGTGTAAGCCCACCTGTGAACTGAAAACTAAACAAATAGCTACCAATGTCCAGTAAACAAACAGGTGTTCAATGGCAGAACGACGATCATAGCACAACTGTGATCGCTAATATTAAAAAAGCAAATTTGCTTTATTTAAAAACAAGGGGGACATCCTATCGGATAAAAATGAGGACTTGACAAAAAATGTCTACAAAGATCAGTTCCACCAATTCTTATTACTGTATGAATTTGAAACATATTCCCTTTCATGAACAAATGAAGTATGTGTGTTAAAAGGTGATAAAGAAAACACCATACAGCAAAATCTATCACTGGTGTGGGGGCATCAAACTGACACCAAAAGATCTGAGTGGCGATAGAAAGAAAACAATCATAAATCTTCCAAATTTTCTTTATAAATTTCACGACTCTTGACATTTAGTATGTCTCATTGCAATAATCAAAAAGCACCCTTGTATTTCCTTTAACAAAATATGAGGGCAACCTCAGAATTAACAGGAAAATGGCCATATTTAAATAACTATCTAACATTCTTCAATTCTGTAAAACGTTTTTAGTAGTTCATTAATACAAACAAACTAAACGCAGCCATTTCACTAGATGTTAACAAAGATGGTAACCATTATACCAACTTGGTCTGAAGAGATGAGAGTTGCTATTCAGTTTCTTCACACAAAAGCACTGAAATTCAGACTCAACTAGAAAGTGGTGATGGGGAGAATGTATCAGGCAAGTCAAGGGTCTTCCACTGGTGCAATTTATAATTTAAAGAATGCCATACAAATTTTCACGATGAGAAAAGAAAAGGCCGTCATTTTTCTGCCAGCGCAGATAAAATTTTGAACTCATTGAAAGAAAACACTTGTGACGGAGGCTCAAAAATGTGTGACATTGTTGAAACCCTTGGTCTTTCACAGAATGGTCTTTAATGAGATGCGACAGAAAAGTGTCAGCTTGGTGAATTCCTAAACAGATGACTAAAATGTACAGAAAAACATCGAGATCTTGCCCCTTCAGACTTCCATCTGTTTGGACCAGTGCAGCAATATCTAGTTGAGAAGAAAATATCACTGAGGACGAAAACCTTGTGGAGCACATCAGAGATGCTTCTGTCGCTTGAAGCAACATTCTACAGAGATGGCAAGCTTTTACTCAGGATACAATGATGCAGAAAATTCTCGACTTTTCAGACTATGTTGAGAAATAAATAGAATGTTGGGCAAACATAACAAAAACATTAAATTTTACAGCCATTTTCCGGTTAATTCTTGACCAGCCATCATACGACCTAGGGGACAGGTAAAAAAAAACCCAACCCCAACCAAAACAACATAACTTCTGTTGTAGTTCTCCCAGATCATGAGTTTCTTGTGCTGTAGGTGTCAGAGAGCCCACAGGGACCAGCATGCGGAGTCAGAGAGTGTGCTGTACATATTTACATTGGAGCATGGTCAATCTGCACGTACAGCTGCCTCACTCCAATCTGAAAGGAAAAAACAAAACCGGGGAAAGATAAATCCTGCGTCAGTACCTCATTACGTTTCATGATCATCGAGCAGTTGCAGTAATTTTACTCAAAAACTCTGCAAAATAATTCAGACCTCATCATGGCACACTGACAATATTTTTATTATTAACAAAAGTTTCGAAGTTTTATGAAGGTTCAAGACTGAAGATTAACTTTAACAAGATCAGTCAAAGACTGAACCACTTACCACTTAGCAGGTCTGTGTAAGATGCCTGCTCATTAACAGACACAGAAAGAATACACACCTTAACGAGACGAACTACCCTTGGGGACCATTTTCTATGTTTGTTGCCCGAGATCAAATCTAAGTCCACATATAAGTTAGACATAGTAAAATCGCTTGATACGTAATTTTATTTTGGCATAGCTACAGCGGTTGCTATGGAAAAAAGCCGCCATCTTGAAAATAAACAATGAATTTCAAATCCCTAGGGCTTTCTTATTTACAGACCAAATGTGACCAAATTTGGTGAGAGTATATCTGAACAAGATCCTATCAGAGTAACAGCAAGTTGTTTTCAATAAGTGCAAAAGAAAAATGAATATGAGAATTTTCCCAAAGTATAAAAAAACTTTTTCTAAATTTAGGTTGCGTAATTGCTTGCCAATGGTAAAGTATTATTTTTTTCACAAAAATCTCTCAGTTACATTGATGGCAGCCTTGCCAACTATGTTTCCTGAAAGTTCGATGTCAAAAGGATGAAAACTAAGGAAGGAGCAGGGAAAAAACTGCACAAAAATTACATTTTGCGAAAAACGACAATAATTGTGAAAATTCACTATATTAATCCACCCTCATGTTTTTAAAGGCAATTTACCTGGAGAATAAAGTCTTTCTCAATTGTATCCATGCTATTTTTAGATAAAAAAACAGGTTTATTTAAAAACATCAGCCTATACAAAATGTGCATAGCCTGACCCAAAATATGCAAAATCAAGGGTCGCTACTCCCCTTAATTAAAAGACGCAAAAGTAAAACTGAAGAGTACTCCCCCCCCCCCCAAGATAACAAGTTAAATCACATCTGTTAAACATGAGAACCCCACTAAAAAATTCAGAATTCCCCTTCTCTTGTCCCATCTACTCTTTCCTCACTGGAAACTGGCAATTTTCAAACCTTTCTGTGGTTAGAAGGATAACGCAACAATTACATCATCATCATCCGGTGCCTTGCCTACTGGCGTGGGCAATCATGGACCTCCACTTCATCTCTTTCCATCAAACTTTCCTGTTGTTACAATACTCTCTAATGCTTCTTTCCGCATTGTGTGTCTGAAGAAATTTCCCTGTCGTTTTCTTATATTCGTGATAAGTTGTTTTCTATAATTTGCTTCAACCAGGACTTCTTCATTTGTTTTCTAGCTGTCCATGGGATACGTATCATGCGTCATATGAACCAGAACTCTGTCGCTACAATTGTTCTTTCCAGCTGTTTATTGCTTGTCCACGCTTCGCACCCGTATAATAGGATTGGCTCGATGTAACTTTTCAGTACTCTTTTCCTCATTTCCAGTGACAGATTGATGTTTGTTAGTATCTGTTTCATCTTGTGGAAGGTTGCTTTTGCTTGGCAAATGCGGCTTGTAATTTCGGTGTGACATCTACCATCTTATGATATAATGGTCCCCAAATATTTAAAATGTTGTACTTGCTTGAGGGTGGTATAATTGATTTTGATATTGCATGTTGGGATTGGAGTTTTTCTCCTTATCACCATCCTTTCGGTTTTCTTGATGTTTAGGCTTAAGCCCATGTTGTCACTCTCTTGTACGATGACATTTAACTCTTTTTATCCTAGCCGTACCCCCACGGACTCTGTACCAGTACGAGTCGGAAGTCAGTGCATATAGTTCAAAGTGCTATAATTCTTACATTTACTCTAAGGTTTTAAGGAAATTTGGCAGTTATATTAGAAATTGAATGTAGTTTTTTTCAAATGTATGTGGTTAGGAATTACACCAATTGCACAAAGTAGATTTTGAGGTGTATTCCACCCTCGAACTTGACCCTGATTGCTGCGCCCACGACGTCCCATTGGATTTAATAGATCTAGATCTAGATCTAGCCCTACCCATCGAGCACAAATTCCAGTACTGACCCCTTCACCATGATCTGAATCGCTATTAGATGAGTCAAGTCCTGTTTCTTATCATCCACAACGGAATTTACGTCACTTATTTCAGAGTCACTTTCATCAAATTAGTATCATTCCCCCTCACAACCCAGCGCCACTTCAAAAAGTACTTCGTCAGTCGTGAATGTGCGTTTTCGAGACATCTTTCAAGTTTCTACACCCATCAAAAACAAAGAAACCACTGTTCATTGGAAAATTAAAATATTCAGACAGAGCTAGCATCCCCGTATTTGCGTATTTTGGTAATTACAAGCAGAACTAGCTTCTTTGACGTGACCGTATCGCTGTTCCAAGTATACTCGTAGCCCGGACTGGTCCTCATTACGAGTAAACTCGTAGCTCGCATAAAAAGAGATTAATAGATTCTGCAGGTGTTCTTCATCTTCTGCTATTAGGACTGTATCATCTGCATATCTTAGATTGTTTATATTATGTCCCCCTATCGAGATACCAGGCATTTCGTCTATGTGTCTCATGATATTTTCACTATACAGGGAGAACAAGTCTGGAGAAAGTACACATCCTTGTCTGACTTCTCTTTTAATCTGTATGTATTCCCTGATGTCGTTTTCTATTCTCATTGCAGCAGTTTGATCCCAGTACATGTTTTTGATAATCCTTAAGCTTTTCCCGTCGATATTAAGAACTTCCAGCATGTTGGTGATCTTGTCGTGCCTAACTTTGTCGAATGCCTTGGTGAAGTCTATAAAACATAAATGAAGATCTTTCTGAACTTCTAGGGCACGTTCTATTGTTGTTCTGATGACATATATGGCATTTACCTTGCCTTTCCCTTCAATAAATCCACACTGTTCTTGGGCTATTTCTGGGAGAATTTTATTTCGTATTCTCATCATAATTATTCTGAGTAATATTTTTGTTATGTGGCTCATGAGGCTGATGGTACGATGCGTTTCACATTCGTTTGCATTAGGTTTCTTTGGTAAAGCTATGAAGATAGATTTTGACAAGTCTGATGGAATATGTCCAGTGGCATATATGTTGTTAAGAAGTTTTGGCAGCGTGGTGATTCCAAAGTCTTCTAAAGCTTTAATCATCTCTGTGGTAATGTCCGGTCCTGCAGCTTTCCCATTCTTCATCTTCCGTAGTGCCTTGATAACTTCTTCTTTCATGATTGGTGGTCCCTCGTTGTTATTTTCCACTCTTCTTTGTTCATCTCTTTTGTCATTGTACAGGTCACCGATATATTCTGTCCAATGTCCTAGTATCTTGTCTTTGCCCATTACGATATTCCCATCCTTTGATTTGAGGCATCCTGTTGATCCACGTGTTCTTGTAAGGCACACCTCTTTAATTTTTCTGTGTAGATCTTTTGAGTTCGCATTGGAATGATTTTCCATTTCCTCACATTCTTCTTTTAACCAGGTCTCTTAACAATTACATACCTGAGTAAAAATACTGTGCGTCTGACTGAGAATGTATCTTGTGTCCGCATTCAGCGCCACCTCTAGCTTGATGGTGCCTATGAAAACATCAGTGCACAATGTCCAGAAGTGTGGCTCTTGTACACTGTATACCCCTTCTAACTGGCTAACCTGTGGACCAAGTGACAAGAAGATTAAACAGAAAAAGATTTAACTCAACAACAATTGATGATCTAAGATATGAGAAAATAAGATAAATCTTTATTGTCCAGATCCTGGCACATTGGTTTGGTGTTTCTGATAATACTGACAAGAAATATAAAACAGCAGATGCCAAAAAAACTTTAATATGGGATGCAAACCCACATTCCTGACATGACTTGTTGCAAAGGAAACACAAAAGAAGATAAAAAGGACACTTATATAATTGTTTAAAGCACCTTGAAACAAACTCATGTTCAGCCGCAGGCTGACAAAATGCCATTTTCATTTTGGCGCAAAAATCTTTTATAAGCTAAACCGAAAGCCTGATCAGATACCCACAAGAGTAAAGAATTGAAATAGTTTTTAAATTCGAATTCAAAATTTGGAAGAATGCTATTTTTCAATGGTTATGCTGATAATAAAACCTTTTTCATGAAACTGCTGTGAATAATGAAAGGCGTTTTGTCAGCTTATGGCAGTGTAGCAGGTCAAGATTATCAATCTTATCATATCATTATCCAGGGCAGGGACCAAACTGCGTGAGTGGTTGGCGGGTGCTCTGGTGTGGTTTGCTCCTTCTTTCCTATCAAACATCTATTGTCCTTATCTCTTCTTCTTCTTTTTTATGTTTGTTACTCTCTTGTAACACCTCTAATCTTCAGGCGCTCATATGACCGTATGCAGTTGCGAGCACAGTAAAACCTCTACTAAAACTAAAAAAAGGGACCAAACTGCAGCATGCAGCTGGTATCATTCCATCACCATAACATCCCATCTCTGACAAATATCAAATGCCAGCATTGAAGCATGCAAGGGCTGAGCAAAAGCTTCAGACTAGGGATTCTACGAATGCATAGTTGATGATGACAACTAGTGACAATATTTCCATCCATGAATAAATTAATAAAGGAACCAACACAACATAAAAAAGCGGAATGTGTAGCTTAACAAACCTGAACATACAACTCGACCAGTACACTCATCAATCCTTCAATACTTTAGTATTAGGAAGAAAGCAAAAAAAATAAATAAATAAATAAAAATAATAAAAGCAGCAGCGTTTTATAGTAAAAAATATACGTGGCATATTTCTTTGAACCAGGTATCAATCACATCATCAAACTTGACTTACCCTCTGATAACACCCAGGAAGTACATGATCCAAAGATCTGGGCGTGCGCTGCATGAGAACTCCAATAGAATCACGCAGCAAGGGCAGTACACTGGAGAGGTAAGAAAGAACCAATAAAATGAATTGTTTTGTTTTAGTGTTTTACGGCACTTGAAACACAATTAGGTCATATAAGAGCCAAAGATTAAAGGTGTTACAAGAGAGTAACAAACATAAAAAAGGAGGAGAGATAAAGACGATAGTTGTTTGATAGGAAAGAAGAGCAAACCATACCAGAACACCCACCAACCACCCACATAGTGGTTATTTAGTGAAAAGAAACAACAGAGGGAAAGAAAAGAAGTAGGACGTACCATCGGTACCCTTCAACCACCCCCAACAACAAGGAGCAGAGACTTAAAAAGGGGAAAAGACGGAAGAAAGAAAAGTGGAGCAGCACCCTCTACCCCAGATTGTTAAACAATGACCATGTCCCTCCTAACGATAAGCCAGGGTTGAGAAAACAATGACATTGAAAAGTAGAAAAGCAGGCACACTACACGACAGCTCCATTTATCAAATGCCAGAACTCAAACCTTCCACTCGTAGACACTGAAAAAGTCGATGGTAATGCTCACCTTATTGCAATCAAAGTGGCAATAAACATTGAACACACTGGGTCGGCTATCATCCAGCCAAAGTAATGTATAAGAATGGAAGAAACAATGACTCCAACGCTGCCTAACGTGTCAGCCAAAATATGAAGGAACACTCCTGGAAAAAAGAAAAGAAAAACAAGAGCTAAGTATAGTTTCAGTTTGTATCGTTTTCATGTCATGCAGTTTGCACAAAGCAAAGACAAACTGGTCACAAATGATACTTTGCTGATGATTTTGATCAATGCCTGTATCTCAAGAAATTACAATAATGAACAAAATAAAAAGATACTTTTTGTTAATCCATTTGACGTACAAGTCTTTGAAATTAGGGCTACATTACTGAGACAAAAAAAAAATATTATAGTGTAGGAGAGGGCACAGTAGCCAAACATGGTACAAGCTAACACCGAATGTGCAGCTGTGTCAATGGTGAAGGAAACTGAGGGACAGGCCCATGTTTATCACATCTTTTGATCCAAGAAAAAATCCATGCGGGAATGTGTTTTTGCACGGAGAGAAAAGGTGTTGGGTCTAAAACAAAAATTAAAATAAACATTGCCCAACATGTGGTCAAAAGGCGGTTCTATTCCATTTAATTATTTTGATGAGAACTTGATTTCATCAGGATACCACACATATTATATCATTATATTGTGTATCAGCATTGCGTGATCCAGATAATTCCATAAATCTGGATTTCCTGATTCAAGCGGAAAATTGGTCACTCAGTTAAAATCCCTTCTTTTACCCATAAGAAAATTCTGTATTTTCTTCTTACCCTGCATGATCTGAGCCTGCGCTGCTTTGGCAGAGTTGGTTGCTTTTTTCTCCACAGCACCATGGCTGTGGCCGTGGTCTTCGTGACTATGGCCGTGGTCAGATCCTCCATGACTATGGCCGTGGTCAGATCCTCCATGACTGTGGCCGTGGTCAGATTCCCCGTGACTGTGACCGTGGTCATGGGACTCCTCTAGGCCTGTCAAAAGTACCAAATTAATAGACAAATCGATTAACACTCTTTTAGTCTGTCCGAGTACCAGATTAATCATGATTCCACAGAGGGGCTTCAAATTTAAAAGATCATAATAATAAAAATAGTCATAATAAAGTTTTGGAACTGTTGTCCTACCTAACAACACAAGTTAAAGCCACTGCGTAATGTTTCCATAATAAGTGGGTAGTTGGTGGGAGTTCTCTCAATTCTTCTTCTTTTTCGTCTTTAAACCAATCCAAAATTGTTGCCACCTTGCTAAAAATTTCGACTCGACTTTATTTTAAACTGATCCTTCAACTTTTGCCATTTACAAGCATATATGCATCACAGGGCAAGCATAGAATATTATGAATCACCCACCCCACCCCAAACCAATGATTGTTCACTCACTTGAAAAGCACCCTCTGAAATCTAGCTATGGGCAATAATGTTGCCAACAATGTTGAGGAAAGCAGTTTTGAACCATTTCCTTAAAAGGGGTCCATTAAAAACAATTTGAACTATTATTCTATGCTTACAAGGTATGCAAGCCCTTAAAAAAGCAGTATTCTGACCACAATAACGAAGATGCCATTACCTGGTTTTCAAGGATGTATTTTCAATCTCTCAAACAGAGGGGTGACCTATCTTGTAATTTACAATCTTTGACTGAACGAACAGCCATATTCTACATTTACCAGTATTCTTATTTCTTTGTTATGCAAAGTGGCAATAACATAACTATTAAAAAAACAAACTCACCTATGCTTTGGTTGCAAAAGATTACTAACATGCACACTCTTTTACACAAAGATCACAATGCTATTAAAAATAAAATGAACAGACTATGAATACAGTCTCAAGTCATTTTCTGAGCTATTGTAAAAAAAAAATCTTCTTTACTCTACTATAACCTTTTACTGAATATCAACAATACAGGTTCTCTCTATTTTATTATTGTAAGTGTGAAAGTCACAAAAAGATAATCAGGAAAGTTAAAAACAAGCAGAAGAAATAATTTCATAATTTAAAAAACATTTTTTGGTACGTGTTTTACGGTGCTCGCAACTGCATGAGGTCATATGAGCACGTGGGACACATTAATCATTTTCAGTTGGTAGGAAATTTTGAAATTTGCCCCATGGCGGCCGAAGCCTACTCTTATCAATTTTAGACCACCAAGGGATCTTTAACCTGCGCAACTTGCACACGGGACCTCCGAGATATTTTGCCCTTGTCCAAGAAAGTGTAGGCCTTTCTTACCAGAGGATCAGGGGTGTGGCTGAAAGACAGCAGTAAGGAGCCAAGGAGTAGCAGTAGAAAGGCTGCAGAAAGAGTCAGGAGCCTTGAGGAGCGGAAGAAATAATATCACAAAAAGTTCTGAAACGTCAAAAAGGGACCCTGGTGAATGTGGGAAGGAGCCACCTGAAAAAGTAAAATTTAAAAAAAGAAGAAAGAACTTACCCACGCCATGACTGTGTCCATGACCACCAAAGCCGTGGGAGTGACCATGATCTGAAAATATCACATAGTGAATACACCGTTACATACAAATGAAGAACCCCCCCAAAACCCAACAACCTAGCGACGATCAAGGACAACAACAGTTGAATCTGCTTTAACTCGACTAATGGCCACCTGTACAAAACAATCACTTGTATAAGTGGCCACGTCCAATTTCCCACCTTGTGTATTTTTAAACATTTTAATGACAGTGTAAAACTGCCACCTGTCTAATACGGAAACTGTTCTCCTCGACCATGGGAGACAGCTTCAACTCTTACTTACTTCTCGTTCTATTTATCAGCTTTCACGAATTAGGTCTAAAATAAATAAAATTGGCCATCCTATGTAAAGTGAAACCGACGTCACATATGTTGTGCTGGGAAAAAAAATTCTAAGCAAAGATAGAGAGCCATTCTTGAGTTTTTCTTTCTTAGTTAAAGACAGGCTGCCTCTAATAAAATTGACCCCCCCCCCAAAAAAAAAAAACTAACAATTTTTAAATTAAAATTAAGCATGGCTTTATCACAGTCTAGAATTTTTTCTAGCTAGTCATAATTCCTGCAATATAAGAAAAGATAAGATACATCTTTATTGTCCAGATCCTGGTACATTAAACAATTTTTAAAAAAATGTCATGGCAGTTTTACTTTTCATGGAATGACTCAAATGCAGAAAAACTTTTTCATTTTATTTTTAGGTAGGAGTTTCCATACTAAATATATGTCTTAAAAATGTACAAAATAAAAGCCATTTGATTTACAAGAAAACTGACCAAACAAAAACCCCATAAAACTTTCCTTCTACGAAGGCAAGGAGGCCAAATACCTAATTATGACATATTCATATATTCATACAATATATATTGAAAAATTATATCAAATTATCATGGGGCTTAAATTACTCAAAATAAGTGTTTCTTCATCCCACAAACACTCCCACTTCGAAAAGAACCCTCCCCGAAGACTCTTCTTTCAACTTTTTTCTATTGCCCTAGTCCTAGTAACACCTGTACTCTCCAAATGACAACAGTTTCCCTATCTACTTCAATACAAGATTTTTTAAACAAAACTGTCCTTTTTCAATATGTGCCTACCCTGTCTCTATCATCTAACTTTCGATTGAGAGACAACACTCGGAAGTTGCGTGCGGTGCTTGACAGCCCCTTTTCAACAGACCACTCACCTCCTCCACCGTGTGAGTGACCGTGCTGGAAAGCAAAGATTCCTATGAGATTCACGATAAATCCAAGCACAGATACAACAAACAGTCGTTCATGTTTGACTTCTGGAGGCTCCACAGCACGCTGAGAAATAGAATGATACAACGATTATTGTAATTACTAATAACAAAGCTAGATTTCACTTACAGTGTAGTGCACTTGAGTAAGAGAGTGGTCAGTTAGTCTTAGTGAGAGTTTTACGGCACTTGCAACACAATAAGCTCATATAAGTGCCGAAGATTAGAGGTGTTACAAGAGAGTAACAAACATAAAAAAGAAGGAGGGGAAATAAAGACAATATGTTAGATGTTCGATAGGAAAGAAGACGCAAACCACACCAGAGCACCCGCGAACCACCTACAGAGAGTGGTCAATGCGCTTTACAATATAACAAAGAATAAGAGCACTATAGGTTCAAACAGGGATCCTTTCTTTCCCTCTCACAAAAAAACCCAAACCCAAACAAAAACAAGAAAAACAAACTTGCACACACACATCCACAAAGTCATCGATTACGACACACAACTTCTTGTTACAAGACAAAACGAAAAAAAAAATGTATATGGAGAGACATTTAATATATAATTGGGAATGCCGGTCATTACAGATTTAAGCTGGCCAGAAAAAAAAAACAGCCAGCAAGCTGTTAACCCTTTATCTCCCCCTACCAAAATCTAAAGGCGACATACGCGCATGGAGTGAAAAAGCTCTTTTTCCAAGTCTCTGACATTTAAGTCTTTCTTTTTTGGCCAATCTTAAGGGCCAAAACATGTATTCGATGACCATGTCACAAACAAAAATATGAAAGTGCAATGTAGTCGACATACTTAAAAAATAACGGACAGTGATCTTGTTCTGAATACACGCTCTCATGAGGAACCAGCGCAGTTGGAAAAAAATTGGTGTTACATGCTCCTTGGCAGGTTTGTTTTTTTGGATTATGTGAGCCATTTATTGGTTCAGAGGGAAGGTTCCACAAACAATTTCAGTAACCTAGATATCAAAGCACAAAAATGAGATAAGGTTTTAATAGAACCGATACTAAGGTACACAGACAATTTCGTTGTTTTCAAAAACAATAAACTGCTGATTTGATTTTTATTTATGAAAGTATTGAAATATTAAGGATGGACAGAGACAGATCTAATATACAAAAAAACTTACTTCAACTGCTTCAGAGAAGATGAAAAATGCTATAAAGAGAAGAAAGAGCCCATTGACAAATCCAGCCAAGATTTCAGCACGGACATACCTGTGAAGAAAAAAATCCAACAAAAAACAAAAGATAAAAATTACTTTTCTTGTGATACTCTACACACAAATCACATTTTTCTAAACCGTGCCATTAAAATGAATCAGTCCTCACTGTCAACTGTCCGCAGTATAGAGAGCACCCCTCTGAGCATACACTAATTATGACATGAGATAATCAAAAACAGTTAACCTGTCCAAGCTGACCACCCACTGTCCTGGAGAAAAGTGGCCATCTTACACAGGTTGGTCCTCTTGGATACTGCCATTTTAATGCATTGAAAAAAAAAAGAAGAAAGAAACATGACAAGCAGGACGGCCCAATTTATGACAGATACCAGACTTCAAGTGTCATGCGATTGAGAAGAAGAAGAAGGAAGTGGTTATATTATGGTCGGTGGTAAAATTTGTTCGACTGCTTTTTCTTGCAAAGAGTTCATGTTGACAAAAGTTATTATTGATAATGAAAGCTGAATGCTGAATATGTCCATTCTATTTTACTTTTTAAACAAACAAGATGATAAACATAAAACAATAACAGATTGTTTGTACCTCATCACTATCCACACTCTTTTGCACTGCTTACCCGTATGAAAAACTTTCAGTGGCTCTCCATCTGGCAATAACCGATGCAACAAGACCAGCCAGCAATGCCGTGCAATCAAAGAACATATGAAAAGAGTCTGATATCAGGCCCAGACTGTTGGTCCATATTCCATACAGCAGCTCCACAAAAGCAAAGGACAAATTCAACAACAGGAAGCCTAACAAGCGGCGAGATGTTTTTTCCGAAAAGATCAATCTGCAAAAAGAGAGATTTAATATAGCACAGCATATAATCATAAAATGCATTATTTTAATCACTGCACAGCCCTAAATGACATCAGAGCTACCCTTCTCCCTCCGAGACCTAACATAGACAACACACTCTATGGAACATTACAGCAACTGCAGCAGACCTGCACTTATCACTACATGGCATTGGACAGAAGGGCGAGAGCCCAGCTGTTGCTGGATTGATAACAACAACAACAACAACATATGTAGGTGGTCTTGTTGTTGCTGCTGATCAGAGAATTATAATTTTGAAATGGCTAGCTCTTTTAACCCCTTCAATGTCGCTGGTAAATAGGACGGTCTGGACCCTGAGCCGGAAGAAATCCCATGAACCAACATTTCTATTGATATAATTTTGAGTGATTTTCATTGAGAGATAGATGGAGAAAAGTTGGGAGTTAGTAGTAATATGATGCTAAAAACAACACCACCAAACAACATAAACAACACCCATTCAAGTAATGATACACTGACACCAACAAAAAAAAGGGGAATTCATGTTGCGTGAGTGTTTGCAGGGAAAGAAGAAGTGACAAGAGGCTTTACCGACCTTATATTATACAACGTTCGTACAATCTATTACAATTTGAAAGCCCATCTGTGTTAACTGCCAGTAAATTATTTTTGTGTGATAGATGTGTCAGATCTAGATTTAATCTCTTTGAGCTAAAATCTGAATCTGATGCTTTCAAAAGGGGGGAAAATGGAGACAAACATAAAGGGAAGGCATATCCGAATAATAATAATAAGGACAAGATTTTAGCAGTAACTCCCTTTATAATGGTATCAAAACAACCACTGTCACAGTCCCACCGTAAATTCTACAGGCCATACACACAGCGCTACACGGTTCAGGCCTGTAAATTCTACGGGCGCAGCAGCAGCGAAGAAGTTAACTGGTCAGTAATATCAGTCTACCCAGTGTAATGTGTTTTAAACTGAAGACTGAAGATTTGAAAATTGAGAATTTTGACCTAAGTGCATCACATACATATATATCAGTAAAAATGTATTCAAGGGCTCTACTACGTAAAGTAGAAACCTGGAGAGAGAGAGAGAGAGAGAGAGAGAGAGAGAGAGAGAGAGAGAGAGAGAGAAAGAGAGAGAGAGAGAGGGAGGGAGAGAGGGGCACAGAAATATAAAGGGTGACTGCTCGATTGAAATTATGACATTTTAAATTTTCTTTTCTTCAAATTGTGATTCCTCCAACTCCAAAATGGAGGAAAAACGATTGTTCTTCGAAAAGACATTTGCAATCTTCATTTAGATCTAGATCTAGATCTAGGCTAGCCTCGAAACTAGATCAATGATTTATCTGTCTGTCTAGATCAAAACCTAATATAGATCTAGAAGAACCTAGGTCTATCCCACAGAATTCTACACTCAACTTGAGTGTAAAATTCTGTGGTCTACCCTTCACCTGAGCCAAAAGGGCGCTGGAACTTTCCGAAATCACAAAAGAGTTCCCCTATCGGGTCTGATACTTTGTGACTTTGTTCCCGGTTACCGGGACTGTATACACTCCCTATTTTCTATTACAAAGTGTGCATGCTTTTACTAGTAGAAAACTGGATTTATTAGACTAATAAATCCAGCTCTCTACCTAAATTTTTGTGGCAAATTGATCTGGCGCATTGCTTACCAAGGAGGAATCTTTTATGTTGCCAAGTTTCATTCAAATAGCATGACTTTGGGAGAAGATATGACTGATTTATCTTTGTAAATCTGTAAAGAACGGCACTTTTTTTTTTACCTGTAAATGTCTTTACAACTCAAAAAGTAGGATAGATATTACGAAGTGTATACAGATCCGGTAATCGGGAACAAAGTCACGAAGTATACAGACCCGGTACTGGAACTCTTTTGTGATTTCGGGAAGTATCGGCCCTCGGACCCAGTAGAAATTTAGTATGTGTGTGTGTGTGTGTGTGAGAGAGAGAGAGAGAGAGAGAGAGAGAGAGAGAGAGAGAGAGAGAGAGAGAGAGAGAGAGAGAGAGAGAGAGAGAGAGAGAGAGAGAGAGAGAGAGAGAGAGAGAGAGAGAGAGAGAGAGAGAGAGAGAGAGAGGGGGGGGGGGGGAACTGCTCGATTGAAATTATGACATTGTTATCATTGTAACTTGTTTCTTTTCTTCAAATTGTGATTCCTCCAACCCCAAAACGGATGAAAAACGATCGTTCATCGAAAAGACATCCACATTCTTCATTTAGATCTAGATCTAGTTAGCCGCGAAACTAGATCAAAGATTTATGTCTGTCTGCCTAGACCTAGATCTAGACCATAGATCTAGAAGAACCTACGTCTACCCTGAGCCAAGAGGGTGCTGAAACTCTCCGAAATCACAAAAGAGTTCCCCTACCGGGTCTGTATACTTTGTGACTTTGTTCCCGGTTACTGGGTCTGTATACACTCCCTAGATATAATTAAAAATCTGACAGAATGACTAGATTCTGCATTAAAAACTACTTGATCTAGACTGCCAAGTTTCATTTACATACTCCAAGAAATAGGCGAGCTATGACAAATATGAAAGTGGCTATTCTCACCCGCCCGGAAGTTCTCGCAAGATCAACTCCTCCCTTCTCTCTCTCTCGGTCTCTTTCTGAATACTGTCTATCGGTGTGGACAAATCAAATTGACCAAAACTAAGTTAAAAAATGATGTTAAAACACAAAAGTAAATTAATTTGGT